GAGACGTACTCTCGCGACCCGTGGAGCTCTCCCTCCTCGGATCCGCCGTCGTCGTCATCCGCATTCTCGCCGTCGCGCACGTCCACCAGACTACAATGACAATGCAAAGAACCGCAAGAATGTCAGGAATTACACTGTGCTTGGGCACCAAGGCCTCGAGGTCAGCGATTACCTGATCTGGCCACAGCTCAGCCCCACGTTCTGTACAGAGGAGCGCAGCAGGGTCCATAGAGTTTCGATGGCCTTTTGTGAGCCCATTTGCTTCAGGTTGTGATGCCAGTCGAACTTGATCATCTTGACATCGAGGGGCATGATCTTCTTCACCTCGTCCAGTGATCGTTCGAAAAACTGGAGTTCCATATAAAGAACGAACGGCGGTCATCAGTTCATCAGGTGCGCACACCAGACCAGGACGAGGGCTGACTCACTCACCTCGGTAAGCGTGGATTCTTCGTGCATGGCACCGATTCGCAACATGTTGCATATGGTGAATGGATGCGGCCCATACCTAGTTATTGGGGGGGACGAAGTCGCGTTTAGCATGACGCACCAGGGCAACAGGGCAAGCAAGGTTGTGGAGTCGCATGAGGAACACAAGGAAGAAGTGGCGTACCTTCGCAGGAGGCGAGCGTAGTATTTGTCCGAGCCCTTGAACGGGTGCTCCGCCTCAACCACCACGCGCGATTCGCCAACCTACAGAAACAGTACGCTTTAACTTTTACGTTTTTACATACTATACTATACTATACTATACTATACTATACTATACTTTTCTATACTTTTCTATACTATCATGCAAGTGGTCAGCAAATGAATGGACACGTACGGATTTCATCTCTGATCGCCACCAGATGGGCACTGTGCCTCGCCGCCACAAAAACGCGCGCCAGTTGATCTAGGGAGACACAATTGACGCTTGGTGATCAACTACTGGTCGGGGACAACGGTGCAGTAGCCGAGGGAACAGAGTACATACCAGGTCCGAGTGGGCTGCGTTGGTCCACATCAGCAACTCGCATTCCGATTCGTTACCGGGCCCGCCGGCTTTGTTGAGCCCACGGGCGTAGTACCGAGTGCCGGCGTTGATGGTACTCTTTCGCGTGAGCACTCCAAGGTGCACTGCGAACACCGAGAGCAAGTGTCGGTGTCAGCATGCAACAAACGAAGGAGCCGCGGCGCGAAAGCAGTGTTGTGTTCTGAAGGTACATACAGGCTGGTTTGTGAGATGCCACAGGGATCGTCTTGGTCAACGCCACGCCCTGGAGCATGACCACACACCACATGCGAAGTCCCTCCCTGCGGTCCAGTAATTAGAAGAAAAGGCGATAAACCTGGGCTGAAGAACTGAAAGGCGGAGAGAAGAACCGTTGAAATGGAGATGCTAGCCACTCATTCCACACATATTCTTCGCAATACCTGGAATGAAGCAATAGTCAAAAATACTGAGAACACACAACACACACAACACACACAACACACACACACACACACACACAATGCCGGGTCAAGAGAGAACTCGGGAGAGGCGGTTCCGCAGCGTACTGGTCGACGGGATAGGCCGAGGGATAGGGTCTGGTGATGTCGAAGGTGTCGCAATAGAAGTGGAGGCCCTCGAGTGGGAAGTCCTGCATGACCTCCATGTTCCTGGCTTCAACCCTGTTATAACGGGGAAGAAGAAGAACAGCTCGCGAGCGAGCGAGCGAGCGACATCAATATTGAACGCGCGCGCTCGTGTCATCTTGGCTCATGACAAAGAAGCAATTGACGCCGTACTTGTTGGGTGAGCCCAGGTAGTTGAGATCCATCTTCATCCATTTGGCCTCCATGATTGTGAACACGCCATGGCCTCCGGGCAGCGTCATGTCCCTTCGCACCTGGGCGGTGCATAGATTGACAATTCTCGATGTGAGCACACGGGCACGACTCGGCCGGCAGTGTAAAGAGAGAGAGAGCGCGCGCTCAACCTTTGTGGCCACGACCAGCCAGGCAGCACCGACAGACTGCAGGCACACATAACCCAGAAGCGCTTCGGCTCGCCTATTTGAACACAGTGCGTGCGTGCGTGCGTGGATCAGATCAGGTGAGGAACATCGCCTTTCAAAGACTAAACATAAATATAAATAGAGAATAAATATAGAACATAAATATAAATATAGAACACGTGCGTGGTATGATGAAGAGGATCGGGATCATGGGCTCAAGAGAGATCACTCAAGTGGGACTATCCCGCGATAATCGAGGAGGGAGTGAACAGCACGTACGTGGCGTTCTTCAGCTGGTAGTTGGCCTTCAGGTAGGCCACTGCCTCGCTCTCGTTGAGAAAGATGTCCTTGCCCTTCACGGCAGCAAATTGGAGGGCGCCTGTGCACAGAGAACAGAGCAGCGAGCGAGGAGGTGAGAAAGTGGTGAGAAAGTGAACCACCGGCCAGGCATCACCTGACCGAGCTGTGCGTACCTGTCTCTGGATGCACGGCCAAGATCGTAGTGTCCTTCCGCATAGAGAGCGTAGAGACGATGAACTGCACCAAAAGAATAATGTTTATTCAGATTAAAAAGAATAATTTAAATAAATTGAGCAAAATCAAGATTGAACAAGTACCCATTCGCCCTGAACCGATTCGACGATGAGATGGCCCAGCCCCAACCGACGCCCGCCTGCACCGGTGGTGTTCCACTCGCCAGATGAAGAGGAAAAATCCTCGTCTACTCCTTTCTTGCCCGTGCTGCTGGCCTTCTTCGTCGTTGTGAGGACATTCGAGGAGGAATTGTGTAGCGCTGCCTTTCCTTCTCCATTAGATGAAGATGGTTGTGTGCTCGTGTTCGTCGAAGTGTTGTAGAGCGTCGAAGGAGATGAGTTCATCAATGCCGCCTTCTTCCCAAATTGAAAATTTTGCAATCCCTGCATTTCGATGTGCGATTCTCGACGATCGGAAATGCGGCAATTGCTGAAGATGTGCAGCTGTTTAGACGTCCAACACCGTGCGCCTGACGTTGAAGATCGCCAACATCTACCTCTTCCTCTTGCTCTGTTGCGTTTTCGAAAACGAAATAAAAAGGAAATAAATTAGCCACAGCAGAAACTGCAAACTCCTTTTCCACCTGCCAAGACAGAGTTCATTGTGGTCACATTCAATGCAGCGTCCTCTGTGGAGGTGGAGCTGATCAGCTGGGCTTCCACAGAGGACAAACAGAGTACCATCACAATCACAGGCACCTAGCCTGTGGTGTGCGTGGCCTGAGCTCAAAGAGTGAACTGCCCGGGCAGCTGGCACGTGCTGATGGGCGTCAGGCAACCAACAGGATAACTCAAATTCCCGCCATGGCGCGGCACGAACGGCTCATTGGTATCCAACGCCACCTGTCTTGTGCGTTACGCCTTTTTGGCTCCGTGTGCCCCAGCCTCGCGCAGCCAGGAAAGATTCTTTGATTGGGCGAACAGATTTTTTAGGTTGCAACAAGTCAAGCAATGAGCAGCCCCACAAGGTACGCGGGTCCTTCACCTCCTCATCTCTTTTACCTCCGGCCTCATCTTCCGATCGAGCGTGTGGCTTCGTTCCTTCCCCCCCCCAATTTCGTTCTTTCAAGTCGCGCGTGCACATAGCATTGTGTGTGTCTTTTCGTTCTCCCCCCCCCCACCTATTTATGCTTTAAAATATGGAGGGTGTCAAATTATTAAATACAAGAAATTAATTCTGTACTTATTACTTTTTTTGGTATTCTAATTAATTGGGGAGACGCTTCTCCCTTTTTTTTAAGTCGAGGGGCGGGCTGGCAGGAGCTCAAGGACGAGGCGTCGGGCCAGGCCTACTACTACAACTCGCACACCGGCGAGACCACCTGGACCACGCCACCCGAGCTTCAACAGTACGCTCTACTTTTTTTATTTTTTTGTTATTTAGAGCATAAGTCTCAATGGGTGGCGCCACACCAACGCAACAGGCAAGCGACACCCAAGAACGAGTGGTGGGAACTATTCGATGCCAGCCGCGGCCGGCCCTATTTCTACAATCCCTCGACCCAACAGACCGTCTGGGAGGCCCCACCCGGTACTATTCACTTCCCTTTCATTGCTCACATTATTTTATTTATACATTTCTTTTAAAAAACCAACCCTTGTTATTTGCTATTTGTTTATTTATTTATTTATTTATGTGTTTGATGTGTGCGCAGGTGTTACGCCGCTGGTGATCGTGCCCGAGAGCGGAGGAGGCGCGGCGGCCAACGGCGGCCAATGGAACGAAGTGGTGGACCTCAAGAGCGGGCTAACCTACTACGTCAACAGCGCCACCGGCCAGAGCTCGTGGGTCAAGCCCGGCTCCGGCAGCCAACAGGGTTCGCGCGCTCTCTCAAGTCAGGCTTGCACCGCCTTAATGTGTGTCTTTTGCTGACGACCCCCTTCCCATCATCGACAGCAGCCGCGCCTCCTCCCCCGAGCCTGGGCAGCGACGAATCCGTCGTCGTGCCTCCTCGACCCCGGGGTACAGCCTCGGGCTCCCATCATGTGTGTCGTGCGTGTCGTGCGTGTCGTGCGTGTCGTGTCGCGTCGCGTGGTGTCGTCGTGTACTTAGCTCACCGCATTCCCACCTCCGTCAAGTGACGATCACCGTCGACGAACCCGCTTCGCCGGTCAGCATTCCGCCACGACCAAAGAGTACGCGACGCTTATGTTTTGTCCCTGTCGCCACAATATGTTTGATTGGGTTCACAATGATTGTTATCAATGCAGGCGTCATGGTGCGCAACGGGGCGCCGTCTTCGGGCAACCGCCACACCGTGGCCCTGGGCAAGGGCGGCGGCTTCGCGCAGAGCAACAACATCCCGCCGCCCCTCCCCGTGCTGCACACCCAGGACGACATCAACACCTCACCCCGTACGGACCACATTCCTCACACATTCCAGTCTCTCCACCGCATTCCTCATACATTCCTCGTGCCTTCTTT